AGGTCCTTGTTGTGACTTGATAGGCAGTACCTTCCCTGGTACTCAATAGATCTACACAACAACAGTGCCATGATACATTATGAAATAAACTTTGGAGTAAAGGTATGTAAAAAAATATTTTTGATTTATTATATCTGTCTACATTTCTGAGATGACGTATTGTAATTATTTACATTGTTCGGACAGTTGTCCTCATCTTTATTGTCATATTCACGACATTTCGGCCGTTGTACGCCCCGGCTTTCATCCGGTGATTGAAATTGTCAAATTGAAACTACGTGCCATGCCTCTTCCGGATGTCTCACTCATCTCCTTTTTGTTCACTTCGAAATAGAAATTCACTTAACTTTCCAAGTTTGTGTGCATCACTGCAGTCAGGTATTGAATTCATAACTCTTTGCATCAAGTCACTGGATCTATTGGGTCAGGTCCCTTTGAGGACATTAGTGCATGATTTTTTGGGACTTATATGTCTTAGAAATCGTTTTTTTACCAGAGATCATATTGCAATTTTGTTTTTATTATTGCTTTTCTCGAGCATGCCGTATTACTGGTTCCCATATTGTATTCATTTCTACGCTTGGATAACTTAGGAGATTTTGTGGCCTGGCATATGTACTGATTCCTTAAGTTTTCATATTTTCCAGTGATGTTCTCTGTCTATTATTTCAACCTCATCCCACAGGGGCGGTGATCTCGCTTTTCCTTCCATATATGGTCAGCTACGCCTGATTTTTTTTTGTGAGTTCAATGCCTGGTTACTGCAGTGGTGTACAAAAACTTGGAGAGTTGAGTTAAAGGGAGATAACTAAGACATCTGGAAGAGGCATGGCACGTGGAACTAGAACAAGCTACCCCGGTGGACAAAATAAAGGGTTCATTTCGAAATTCCAGTCACCTGATGAAGACCGGAGTGTACAACGGCCGAAACGTCATGAATATCACAATACAGATGCGTTTTATTATATTGTAATAAATCCATTAAAATAACGAGTACTTTATTAAAATTGTAAAATGAAGTGCATGAAGAAATAACATACTGATAGCTTTCATATCACTGTGAAGGAATCAGTTTATTATTATTATTATTATTATTATTATTATTAAACACTTGGAACTGTCTGATTAGATAACTTTTCAGGAATCTCTTCATCCTTATGCAGCTGACGAGATATAATAATGCACAATTACAGGTACTGCAAACTTGTAAACAGACAAAGAGAATCAATTTTCTCATCAATTTTATCTTTCTACCTAATAAATTGACTAAAAAATATTGTGTCTTACTTAAGATATGAATGAAATAAACATAAAAGTAGTAGCAGTGTAGTTGCCAAAGGTCAAAATTTGGGAAAGGTTGTTGCTTAAACTGGACGTCCTTCTCTTCGAAACTACGTTCTCACGGTTGATAATAATCGATGAAATTATGTAAATGGTCAGTGGAGATTAATCGCTATCAGAATGCCATATGCAGCGCCAAAGTTTCTATTCTATAGCCAGTTAGTGCTAGATCGGAGACACTCATTACCACATAATGTGGTTAAAATCAAGTAGAATTTCGCCTCGTGTAGATAACAAAAAATGAACACATATTTCATACCCCGGAGTCAGCAGTTGGTCAACTGGTAAAATAACTGGCAATTCGAATACAGTATTATTCTTATTAGCAAATCTTATTCTTTTTAATCGTTGATATTTCTGTCGAAAAGATAATCAAGATGACTGTACATATTCGTTGACATTGCCGACCATTTTATCTTTTCGCTACATTAATTTCCGTGAGTAAAAGATGATGATAAAATGCGAAACACAAAAGTCTTGCTTTGTGGACGCAGCTTAAAATATGCTGTAGTGCGGCAACACCACCCCAAAGGGACCATCCAGTGGTTGAATGCTTTTGGATTTGACTATCAGAGACCAATGTTTACTTATAGACACGTTAAAAACGTGACTAATGTTTACATATAGACTCAAGTGTATACCGACCAATGTTTACATATAGACTCAAGTAAAAACACGACCATTGTTTACGAAAAGACTTAAGTTTAAATACCAATGTTTACCTATAAACCCAAGTCCATACATGACCAATGTTTACCTATAGACTCAAATACAAACACGTTCAATATTTATCGATAGAATCAAATATAAACCTGACTAATTCTTACATAGGAAACTCAAGTATACACACATAAGACTATTTTTCTATAGACTTAAAAAATATTTTGATACTGAATGACTGAGCAAGGGTTGATATGTCATAAAATTCACCGACCCAACTCAACCCGAAAATGTCCATTCGTTTTTTTTTACTATTAGCATTAAGGAAGGTTTAAATTTAACAGAATTTACTAAAAAAAAGAAAAAGAAAAAAAAGATAGCTTTTGATTAAATTGTGAAATCTGTCACATTTAAAACGTCCAAATTGGCGTATTTTTCCGAATATTTTAAATTCTATCATCGAAGGTTACCTTAAGGCTTAAGCAATAGATACGCGCTAAAAATATTCTTGTGTCATTTTGTTTACTCCAAGTGCAAAATAATCTTGAAATTATTCTCAAATTAAATTATAAGTTCTTTTGTTTTTCCATCTGGCATAATTATTATCCGTTAGCAAAAAGTTCATTCGCTTTTTTAGGTTATATGAGTATTAACAGCGTTTCGTTTTAACTGATTTTATTAAAAAAGACGCTTTTGATTTTTATTGTGGAAACAAGTCATATCAGTATACATTTTAAAATACGTTTAAAATTTTATTATCTATTATGCATTTTAAAATATGTTTTTTCATTTTAATATAGACAATTAAGCATTTTTATTTTGAGTAAAAGAAAATGTAATTGAAACGCTAAAAATGTTTGTGTAATTTATTAAGGTATTGCGAAAGAACGAGTGTGTTAAAACTGGTTTACGTATTTATGTACCGGAGATTTATTTTGTTGGCGGAGAAGCTAGTGACATTTTTGGTTGTCAATCCTTGAAAATTGGCAACTTCTTATTCAAAACTTTGTAAATGTTTTAAAGATTTTTATCGTCGGGATATTTAATGTTAAGAGACTTGTGAAAAAAAAAAAAAGAAAAAAGGAAAGCAGAAATTATTATCTCGGGACGTTGATAGTTATGACATTGATGTATGTTGTCTATGAGAAACTAAAATGAAACGGCTTGACAGACAGCACAAGTTAATAGTTTTGGAAACAGACTTAAAATATTAAGGAAATGGTTTTGTCATCAATATCAAATGGAAAAATAGCATTCAAAGACACTGAACAAACAACCACCGTATAAACATTGAGCAATCTCAGTATAGATAGAATTATATCATTCATCGTAAAAACATTGAAGAGCTTGGAAAATCCGCAGCACTTTCGTGAGTTAGCAAAGGAAAAAGATAAGGGGTGATAATACATATTTACAATGTTACTGAAGATGAGAAATCACACAACCATGTTTTACAATCGATAAGACAAGACGATTAATCAAAATATCTAAATCAACCGTTGCACTAGCCTGATTATGTTAGTCGGATTGATGAATGGCTTCCACATAAGTGGAGAGAGAGCGAATAGATAGATAGATAGATAGATAGATAGATAGATAGATAGATAGGAGGAGGAGGAGTGAGAGAGAATACTGGACTGTAGTTACTTGTGCCATTCGCTATCCGAACTAAAAGGTTTCATTTTTAAATACATTATGACAAGGAGATATTTTACAATATGGAGTCACTACTAACTATAGCAAAGCCCAGTCTTCATCTTATGCTGTGAATATGGTGGGATTGGAAAGGGTCCTCTATTGTGAATTTCTTCCGGAAGAGCAATGTCTTAAAAATTGACTGGAATGTTTTCACGCATTCACTATATTTAGCATATGTTGGACTTTCGAAAACCTATTTTTTTTATATAAGTCTATTAAAATATTCAGTTTTTCGGAATATTTCAGCAGACACCAAGAGATGCCTTTGCTCTAAATGGTAAAAGTTCGAGGAAAATGGAATTATAATATTGTCTGGAAGATGAGAGAAGATAGTGGAACAAAACGGTAAATATGTTATTCAATGAAGTTAATGTCGAACATTAAAAAATAAGCCCCCACCCCCACAAAAAAATCACTCTTTAATTTTTACTTAATAAACCGAACGAACTTACATGATTATCAAGTTTGTTGAGAAGCGAGAATAGTAGAACCGATTTTATGAGCTTTTTTGTGCAGTCATGCAACATGAACAATGTCACATGAATAATGTCACTCTCAACAACATTGTAATAAAATATGTGGTGACCATAAAATTGACCATTTTTTCTGAAATGAAATCATGACAAATCATACTGATAAATCTTTATATCACGGGACCCTAACTCATTAGGGTCGTAAGATTACTACAGGTACTGCAGCCATAGCAGCTGTTGTATGTTTAGGCTAAGTAACACGACGGAGCTCATTTCTCTTGATTTTGAATTTCTCGTCCTAGACTGGTTGCCAGCTCAACACAAGACATCCCTACAATTTAATCCATAACTAGGGGGAAAGAGTTAGATTGAAACTTTTCTCAAGAGTATTTGTGCGAAAGTGAACGGAACCAACTCGGTCGAAATTCGAATTTTACTAATCGCTATACTCCCTGCACTAATTAATATGACATTCTCAAATTCAATGTTGTCCAAAAGAAAAACTACGGCACCAAGTAATACTGATATATGAGAAGAAATTAAAGGAAAAATGCTACTCTTTTTTTTCGGAGTAATAATACAATAACTGTGGAAAAATCGCGAACTAGACGTAGTTGGCGGATATGGGACCACTACCAAAAACAGTAGGAACCAATAGTATTGAACGAATAATCAAATAGACATGACAAATGATAAATATATATGGTAAACTTATTAGATCTGATGTGGAATGAGACCAATAGCAGATATTTTATAGGACAAAATTCACCTGAAGAAGAGAGAAGATTGGACTAACTGAAATGGTGCGAGAAAAGAGGACAATAAAGACTAAAAATTCATTGATTTTAAGGAAAATGGAAGCAGAGGAGAGAGAGAGAGAGAGAGAGAGAGGACAGAGATATTTAAGTTGGCATGACACAGGGCTATTATTTTGGAGACCGATGCGTGTTTTGGTTTTGGCGACAAGCGAGCTAACCACTTTTGGTCATAAGAGATTCGAAAGGATTGAAATAGATAAATAGATCTAAAGAGAATAGATAGAAAGAGAGAGAGAGGGTAGGGTAGGAAAGGCTGTTCAAAGATACGAAAACAGATGAATATAAAGATTGAGATAGATTTCGATAGATCGAGAGAGAGAGAAAGAGAGAGAGAAAGACGCAAAAATATATAAATATAAAGAGACTGAGAGAGATAAATAGATAGGTGGAGATAGACAGAGAGCTGAGGATAGACTGTTGACAGAGATATCGAATTCAATATAGATAGATAGATAGATAGATAGATAGATAGATAGATAGATAAAAATAAAAAGGGTGAGATAGAGAGAGAGAGAGAAAGAGAGAGAAATATACTATTGACAGAGATACGAAGAAAGTCCTTCTCTTTTTCTTTCTCTCTCTCTCTCTCTGTATAGATATAAAGAGAGAGAGAAAGTATTTCATTGAGAAAATCAAATTAAAAACTAATGCGAAAGAAATTAAAACAGACGATAGAAAAATAGATGAGAAAAAGATAAAAGGGATAAGGAGAGAGAGAGAGAGAAAGAAGAGAAAGACTAATCTGGAAAGAAAGAGAGAAAGAGCTTTGGAGGGAAAGAGAGAGTGGGGTGGAAAGGAGAGAATTTATTGTGGTTGATAAATGAGAGTGTTCCCGCCAATATTCTTTACAGTGGTGGCGGAGAGTGTGGAGATGTTGCCGCTGTAGTGGTAGCTACTGCTTCAGGCGGTGTCACTGCTGATATACTTGATGCTCGTGCCGGCGATGATGATGTACACAATGGTGGCGGTGGATGCTGCGTCGCGGGTGGGGTTGGGTCATTGTATAGTGTAGTGAGAGTAAAACTGCCGATGAGACCTAGCGAGAGACGAGGAGGAGGGAGAAGGCGTCCGTTTGAAGGGGGTAAAGCGAAAGTACATTGTGCGGCGAACTCTCGCCAGGTTACAAACTGATGCCGAAAACGGTAGGAGGCGAAGCCAGTGGTAGGAACGAAGTGGGTGGGGAAAAGAGAGAAAAAGAAAGAGAAAAAAATAGAGGGAGAAGGAAGGCTGAAGAGAAGAGCCGAAAGAGGAAGAAGAAGACTTTAACAATGACACCCCACTGTCCTTTACTCTGACAAACGTACATGCATGAGACCGTAACTATCGTTCATGGACTTGTACTAACAACGCGCGTCCGAATATACACATGCCATTGAAAGTTCACCATTCTGAACACACTCTCTCTCGTCTGTGCGCTTTCTCTCTCTTTCAAGCACACACACACACACACACACACACACACACACACACACACACACACACACACATACACACACACACACACGGGCACACGCGGCGAGATATGTATAAAAAGTACACACAATTACACATACAATTGCACACATACAAATACATACAAGCGTAGCATACACAGAGGATCGCTAGATGGCAGGTATCCACAAAGAAGGATATATGTAGTATTTTTATTCCAAATAACAGATTTTTCATAACTGAAAGATTATTTATGAGCACACACGTGACACACACACAAATACACACACATCCGCGTGCACATACGCATATCTGTGATCACACATCCATGCAATAAACGCATTTGTATATCAAACACACATATAAACATATCTTCCCTCATAAATATAGTAAACTTTAAATATAATTATATATAAACATATACACATTGAAAAATACACTGATAAATGCCCAACAACACACATATACGGATATATGTGTGTGTGTGTGTGTGTATATATATATATATATATATATATATATATATGAGAGAGAGAAATAGAGAGATAACAAAAGACATGAACAGACTGAGATATAATTAGTTATTCACTCAACTTATCTATACTTGGCACAAGGTCTCGAATATGATAATCAGGGACTGATAAATGCATATATAGTATACATATTTATATATAGATATATGCATGCACATATAAATACACACACACATGATACAATATCAAATTCAATTAATTTGCTTGTAATGTTTGTAGTCTTTGACACAAGGCCGCGCTTTTAGAGCATTTCGCAATGAAAAATCACAGAACTATATAGTATTCTGAAAAAAGATAAATAGCGAGAAAATATACATACACTCACCTACAGACACACATACGTATATACATAAAAAGTAAGTTCTAGATAGATAGTTACAAAATGTGTGTGTGATATACATGTGTGTATGTGTATGTGTATATATATATATATACATAAAGAGAGATTGATAGATAGGTAGATCGATAGATATATAGATAGAAGCGGAAGTACATAATATTTGATATAATCAACACTACATACTAGCACAAGCACTCATAAATAGTATATAATATACAAATGAATGTGTACAAATAAGTTAATATACTTTAAGGATTTTAACTAAATCGACCCCCACATCTGAAACCGCTACATAAAGGCAAATACACGTACGTAGAGGTGACTGCATCAATGCACTTGTGTACTTACGGATACACATTCAGAAAAGAAAAAAAAACAGTAAAATAAAATAACATACACATTATGGACATATCCACGCGCAAACATCATTTGGATGCTGGCATCAATATTTAACAGGGTCGGATTCTCTTCGTCTTAGAAGAAAGGTAAGAAGATTTCTTTCTTTCTTTCTTTCTTTCTTTCTTTCTTTCTTTCTTTCTTTCTTTCTTTCTTCTCCCCACCCATACTTCTTTGTTTATTTATCTACCCGACCGCCTGCTTTCACACAATTTTCTTATTTCCTTCCTCACGGCCCGTGTTTCTTCTCTGTGTGTCAGTCACATCATCTCTAATCTCACACCCTTTCTCTCAGCCTAATCTTTTTTGTTTGTTTTTAATACGTGCCTCTTCTTCAGATATAAACATTATGTCCCTGACGGGAACATTGTATTTGCAAACAACAGATTCCTTCTCTTAGGGCCTGTCCGATCTACCTACACAAGCTATCGATTTGTATTCATCTTGACTGTTGCCAAATACTTGATTGGACACACTAATTTTTTCTTATATATAATTTTTCACACACACACACACACACACACACACACACACACACACACACACACACACACACATATTCAGATTACAAATATAAACGACGTTTTGCTTGTTCATAAGAGGGATGTATGCACAATGATGTGCAAGCATTTCTTAATTATCACCTTGAAACTATGTATATAGCTACTTATGAAAGTTTCTTCAAACATTATATCTATACATAGTCGTGCACAAATGAATGCATGTATGTATGTATATATATCTATCCACTGATGTGTGTCAAAGCATGTGTTTACACCTGTCTATTTATATCGGTCTGTCGATATTAAAGAATCAATTTTACCTTAATTTTCACAGCAAATGTTCGCAAATGTTCACACATACATATACACACAGACGTATCCAATCATCTACTTCGCTATACACACACACACAGACTCATACACATGCATACACACACATATAGTGAGTGAGAGAGATAAATAGATGGAGAAAGAGAGAGGGGGAAAAGTTTGTAGCTAAATTCATGTTTTCCGTGTATTCAGTCATCAATTAAAAAAAAACAAAAAACAACGCTGGGAACTTTTGCAACGGTTAACACACATTCTCTCTCTCTCTCTCTCTCTCTCTCTCTCTCTATATATATATATATATATATATATATATATATATAGGACTCTCCCGTCATATTTGACGTATGAGGTCAAGCAGACACCAGTACATATGATTTGTTTATAGTGGTGAAGGCTTTGTGCAGAACCAATCACACTTTTTGAAGTGCCGAATACAGAGACCTGGTGCACAATGTGCCACAAAGTCCCCAAATGACCCACCGCAGGTTTTGAATTCAGAATTGTCCTTCTCCTAGACCAGTTGCCATCCAAGGCTATAGAACCCAGTCTGTCCTGCTATTTACCCATAGCTGGAGGAAGAAGAGGATTCATACCTTTCCCAAGGGTATTAGCACGTAAGTGAATGCAATGGATTCGACTGGAATTCGAACTCGGCTCTCCGATTCCTCAATCCGATATATATAATGAGGGTGTATTGAAAAGTTGTAAGGCATTCAAAACAAACTGAGGTTTGTTCATTTATTCAGATTTTGTGGGTCGAGCTGAGAACTTTACGATGCCTTCGTATATTTCATAGTTATTGTTTAAAATTTGCTATATCTATGGAGAAGTTCTCAATATCGGAGTGAATGGGAGAGAGAGAGAGAGAGAGAGAGAGAGAGAGAGAGAGATACGGTGATCTAAGTTTTCTATCTGTCTAACAAAGATAGATATGGCAAATGTAAATACATGTGAATGAATATGTGTGTTTTTTAGTATTCACATATATATATAAGCACACACACATATACACACACATATATATATAGTTAAAGGGACAGAAAAATTGATAAACTAGTGATTATATATGTGCATGCTTGCACACACACACACACGTATATATATGGGAAGAGAGCGAAAAAAAAATATATAGAGAGAGAGGGAGAGAAAAGAGAGAGAGAGAGCAAGGTGTGTGCGTGTGTGGTTTGGACCTAACCCCCAAATATGACAAAAGTTTTACATTATATATATATATATATATATATATATATATATATATATATATCATGTGTAAAATTATTATATACCAAAAAAAATTTATATAGCAAAAATTTTACATTATATATATATATATATAATATATATGATGTGTAACATTTTTGGTATATTTAGGGAGTTATATATATAAAGAGAAAGGGAGAGAGTGAGAGCGAGATTGAGAGATAATGAGTGCAAGTGTTCAAGAGTGAAAGCTTGAATGTGAACAACTGCAATTGATCGCATTTTTATACTTGGGTATATGTATGATGTGATGTAAATCAATTTTTAGTTATGTTCCTTGCTGGCTGAGCTAGTTGCGTACTAACCCATTACGCATTACTAACAAGTCTAATGTAGATATCATTGAAATCGATTTATGCTCATATTAATATCCTAAATTTTATAAATAAATATAAATAGATGGTGTTTTCGCTTGGAAGGTGAAATAGTTATGTGTTCCCCACTGGCACAATAATGAATGGCAGATAAATGCCTGCAGCTATAAAAAAAAAAAAAAATTAAAAAAAATGATTTTCAAACAAACAGGCTATCTCGAGATTGGAAGATCAGCAAAACAAAATCCTTCTGCTCCTACCTTAAACAATTTAACAAATTTTATAGACAAAGTTTAGCGTAGTAAATAATTTTCATTTGTTCGACCTTTTTAAAGGTCCGTAACTTCCTCATCTGCTTCTGACTCTCTGAAAGGGTGACCTGAGCTAATCGAATTTCAAATAAAAAGATTCTACATTTCCTTATTAATTATCAGGCTAACTTTCACACATATGTATATTTTTAGACGGAGAATCTGTCACCTGATAAGAATTGAGCATTTTTTTTTATTGCTGATCGATCGATCTATCTATCTATCTATCTATCTATCTATCTATCTATCTATCTATCTATCTATCTATCTACTGGTATGGATAGAATAAGATAATAGGAACAATATATATATATATATATATATATATATATATATATATATATATATATATATATAATTATATTCATTATGTGAGAAATAGAATTGCTCAGCTGTGAAAAATGGAATTGCTCAGCTGCATCCAAATGTTAGTTGAAACAGTCTTCAATTCTAACGATGACTCGAAGAAAGGCATGAAACCACTTCCTTCGATAAATATCTTTTTTTACAAAAGAATGTCTGTCAGTGTGAAAATACAATATAATACACCCCCATATATATATATATATATATATATATATATATATATATATATATATATATAATAAATGGTTGTTATTATTATTATTTCATCGTAATAATTATGTATGATATTAATATATATTTGAGAGAATGAAAGACATTTAAAATACTTTATGATTTGGTCAGATTTTATGAAGTATGCAAGATCGAGAACTATTTTATCCTCTCTCTCTCTCTCTCTCTCTCTCTCTCTATATATTTATATATATATATATATATATATATATATATATTATTATTATTATTATTATTATTATTATTACTTTTATTATTTATATGTATATGTATGTATTTAACATTTTTTATTGACGACGTCGTCGGAGGTATAGTTTGTTTAATTTGTATTCTTTTTTTTTCCAGTGTGCGTA